CAGCCACTGCACTCCAGTCTGAGTGACAAAGTGAGACTCAAAAAAAAAAAACCTCTGAAACCAAGAAAGGGACAGAAAAAGCTCTAGAGGCACCTCCCTTTACTTTCTGGTCTGAGTGTGCCTCAATTTGGCAGGAAGAGAAATGCCACACCATCTCCCAATCTGTGCCCAAGTAAACAGGTGCTGACAAGACCCTGTAGGAGGTAGAAAGAGAAACTGAACCTCTATTGGAGACAGGGAGAGCACCACAAGAAGCTTGTCTTTGCAACAGTGGAAAGATTTTTCCTCCCATTTCTTTTTGTGGGTGGTTATTTGGTTTGGGTTAGATTACAGTCCTCTGTTACTGAGCCCTTGCACATCGGGCTGGAGACTTGTGCTTTGAGTCTAAGGGAGAACTGGGGATAGGGTAGGGGTGCTCCCTCTGCTTCTGAAGACCCAACTGCAAAGCTCCGGGCACCTTGCTTCCAGCCCAGAAGTACAAATGAGCTTTCTGGCATCACACAATTACGCAGTTACATCAATCAAGGGTGTGGTGGGAAAATGGATGGGAGAGACAGCTGGCAGGGACAGAGCAGGGAAAGGGAAGAGGAGCAACAGGGATGGCTGGGGACAAGGGGAGCAGCCATTCTCCCTAGGTAGAGGGAAAGTTGAGATGGAGGTGGATGGATCAATGACTTTCAGGAAGGAAAAGGAAGCCTGTGTGATCAGAGCGGCAGGTCAAGGCAGATCTCAGTTCACTGATTCCAGGTCCGTGACTCTTGAAAGTCCCAAATATAACCATATCCTCCTCCATGCCAGTTCCTCCATGAGGCCTTTCCTGCTCCCCAGACTCATTCATTCACTCATTCACTCACTGGTTCATTCATCTAGCACTTGAAGAGCAAGTCACCATGCTAGATGCCGTGGGCACAGCAGTAGAACAAGGCGGATGCAGCAATTCTTTACTCTGTGATGGAACTTACAAGCGTACCCGCAGGGGAAGCAGTCTTTAAAAAGTTATGGCAAAACAAAAGTTGTAATTACCATTGGTAATGCACCATGGAGAATGAGAAGAGACGGGATCCTAGGGCAGGGGGCCTTCTTGGAAGGTGCTGCTGGGTACAACCTAAACTTAAAAGATGCATCAGAATTGACCTGTCAAAGAGGGAGTTCTGGTCAAAGGGAACAGCTTGTGTACAGGACCTAAGACTGGTAGGTTCCCCAGAAATGTCACCAGGTCACTAGGACACGACAAGGAGGAGAGCTGCTTGAAATCACTCAGGAGAGTTTGGCAGGGGCCAAGGAATTC